CACATTGGACATAAATACTTTTACGAAAACATTACCTAACGTCATCGGTGGAAACTCAATCTTTAATAGGCGTATGAACAGTAAAGACTCCAGGGCTAGCTAGCTTACTGTTAAATGAATTGTGCCTGCATCAACTCAAAATTAACTCGCTCATCGTGAACCCTCAATAAGATATTAAGGAAGTTACAGACTAGAAAGAAGACTTTATATTGCTTCTAAGTTTGTGAAACTTTTGTTTATAAATCATTGTTTGTAATAACTGTTATTGTAAATTGTATTGTTGTGTATACATTAAAACGAATTTGTGTTAAAAATGAAAACTGTGTGTATCAATCTTGTTGGCAAATATCATAAACTGACTATATATCGGCTTTTACTTAACTGCTAAATTTAAATTATCATTTAACTCAATTTAAGACCATTGGAAATTTTAATACGTAACAAGAGGTTTGTAAATCGTTAAGAGTAAGGAGGCCTTTGTAACACTATTTTCAGATTTCGCTGAATATGGAATAAGTGTATTGCAAAACATTCAAACATTGTAAATAAATTGTTTTGTGTTTTGTCAACGGTATTCATCTTCATTATTATACTTCGTTTTCCTCAGCATGAATCCACTGCTAGTGTTATAATAGAACTGTAGAACAACAACAGAACCCTATCATTTTGGGGCCACACTTTACCTACTGTAATTACATTATAAGTGTTTTTACGCCTACTACACTCGTTGTTTCTACAAAGATATTGTATTCGGGCAGAGGACAATCTCAAGGAAATAATGTTATTTAACTGTATTTTCACTTTTTCTTTCTGTGTATATTTTACAGCTGTTGTAAATGTGAAGAAATAGTTTTTAATTTTATATCCAAATAGAATAATTGATTGATTGAGTTGTCAGCCTAGAAAAATAACTTGATTGTCTTTCTGTTCGTAATGTTGGATACAACGTAAGCAGACTTACTTTCAATACAACTCTTTTTCTATACTTTCAATGACTCATTTTCCTTACATATATAACCGGATTTGATTTACTTTCATCTGCATTTCACATATTTTTCAGAATAACAAGACATGTTTTGTTTTTTCAGGTATGTGGTATAATTAAGGCTCAAACAACGTTAAAACTTAGTAAATCATAACTTGGGTATATCACAAACAAGAACATAAATGACATATATATATATATATACCATTACTACAATATGTTCACGGAATCTTTGTAGCTCTTATGGTATAATAATTTTTTAAAATCACTTTTTCAGTGTACAGGTAAACGTTTTACACTAAACCCGAAGGTTTGTAATCAATATACTTTATTATAAGACTAGCTGGAGTACCCGTTCAACTGGACTGGTGAAATAAAAACTGGTTTGTAACAAAAGATAGGAAATTATGTTTTTTCTTAACATAATATAAATTAAAATTCTGGATGGTTAAAGTTAAGCACAAAGCTACACAATGGGCTATCTGTGCTCTGCCCACCACGGGTATCGAACCCGGTTTTTAGCGTTGTAAGTCTGCAGACATACTGCTGTGCCATTGTGGGGGGGTAGCATTAAAAGTGCAATAAGAATACATAAAGGTCCAACTCCCCAACTCCATAACTTTCCTCGTGTCATTCTGTATCATTGTGTCAAGTTTGGTGTTGATTGATCAAGAAATGTGGAAACGTATAAGTAACAGATACACATGCATATATTGAGGTTTATTAATATATATAGCTGGAGTACCCGTCCGGTGAACAGGTGAAATAAAAGCTCGTTTGTAAAAAGGGATAGGAAATTGTGCTTCTATTTTTTGATAAACATTAAAAGTGCAATAAAAATGCATAAATATACTACTACTGAAAAGAAAGACATGCTGTTTTCAAGAATTTTATCAATATGAAATTAGATGGGGGGGGGTCCAACTCTCCTCATGACCTTCCTCATGTTATCCTGTATC